TTTTTTTTTTTTTTTTTTTTTTAATAATAATAATCTTTATTACGTAAAAAGTACACAAGTATACATTAATTTGATAATTTTATAATTATTATTTATATAAACCTTGTATGAGTCGAGCACCAAACCATTGCCACTGCACGCGCGCAGCTCGCGAGCAGCCCGCAGTGCATTCGTCAGATGTGGACGCAATCTAAGACTTATTAAACGAATGGACTGGTCATCATCTGTTTGTGTTAGACTTTGTTAAACTTTGTAGTAAATACAAAACAAACCAAGGTAAAGATTAAATTAATTGGATTTTAATACAGGTGCAAGGTGCATACGTACAAGGCATGGGCTACTATACGTGTGAGAAGATAGCTTATGACAAGAAGACGGGCAAGATGGAGACGAACCGTTCCCTCAAATACCATGTCCCTCTTGCCTTAGACACGCCTGTAGAGTATAATGTCAAATTGAGGTACAACAGCAAGAACCCGAAGGGCGTCCTTGGATCTAAAAGTAAGTTTTAGAAAAATGTTCTTTATTATCAACCGTTTTTGAGTCACATATTTGTTTCAACGTCACTGTCTTGAAAATGCTTATCTTAAATCCATGCCTTTTGAGGTGGTCATGAGGTTGTTTTGTAAAATTCGAAAATCTTAAGTGTGGGAGAGCCATGCTTTGGTACGAATGGGCCGGCTCGAGTTATACCATGGCCTCACAGAAAACCGACGTGAAGCAACGCTTGCGTTGTTTCGTCGTGTGAGTGAGGTTACCGGAGGCCCAATCACTCTTCCCTTCCCCAATCTCCCCAATTCCTGAAACCTCAACGATCCTCAAACTCCTAATCCCCAAAAGGCCGGTAATGCACCTGTAACACTTCTGGTGTTCCAGGTGTCTATGGGCGACGCCGATTGCTTACCATCAGGTGATCCGTCAGCTCCTTAAAAAAAAAATAGGAGCGCTCTATACCAATAAGACAGATGACGATTCCAATTAAAATGATTCTAATATGTTACTGTTACAATTAACAAAAGTTATCAATAAGCATTCTTTGGTGCCAAGTTCTTCAATGTTCGTCGCCATCTACGATCTTTAGAAAACATTTTTACGTAAAAATTAGTAGTGATTGTATATTAACTGATATTGTAACTGTTTGATTCTTTTTAATTTATTTTTGTGTGTGTTAATGTAATTTATATAAAGCCGTGTTAACATAACGATAATAAATAAATAAATATGTTTAAACGTTCTAAACTTATCGTGGTGTTCCAGCGTGTGGTGAGATGGGTGTTGGTATAGCTCATGGAATAACGCACGCGCTGCGCCAATGCATCATGGAGTCAAGAAAGGACTCTGGATACGATCCCAACGAATTCATCTATATACGTGAGTACCAGTTTTATTTCATTATGACCAATAATCTCTGAAAGTTCTCTGCTGGACTATGAGCATCTTATTCATAAAGGGTTTGCTATAATCTTAACAATCTCCACATATCTTAATTCAAAGTCAAATTATTTATCTACCCATAAAACAATAGGTACCTACATTTTTTTAAATATGTTGAGTTTGTTTAAAACTTCACTACTTATAGGTGCTTATAATTTAAAACATGTATGTATGTTAATGTGTAGTAATTACAGGCAAAATTCATTCTTGTCGCTTGTCGTACTTTTAACGACATCAGATTCAGTAGCAAGGATGATGTAGATATTTATCTTTGGTACAAGCCTAAGGAAGGCTAGACCTATGACCTAACGGGTAACCGGGGCTCCGACTCGACGTGCAGGAGAAGGAACGGGGTGGTTTTTAGTCAGTAAGAGTCTGACACTCCCTCCCGCCTCACCCAGGCGGGAGCAGTCATTCGATGATTTTCCAAAAAAAAAAGACCTATGACTAGTGAAGACTTTTAGGAAAATTAATTTTAAAATATGTATTAAGTACCTATTTACCTATTATTTTTCTTTAAATTTTCTTACTGTGTGCCTACTGTTTTTGATTATTTTTAATTTCACTTTCGTCTTAGCTGCTATTTAGTCACTGTTCGCGTGAATTTGTAAGAGGCTCAATGTGACGATTTTTCTACAAAAATTGTATAGTGTAGCTGTTGATTTACCATGAAATAAATAAATATTGTTCGTTTTACAGCGGTGCCATACGATACAGAAACTATACTGAAGGCTTTGGATGTGAAACTAGAAGAGTTCGTTCTTAGTTCATAACTTAAAATTAGCTTGGGATTGGTTTTTGGAGATTTTTGTACATTGATATTGAGTCATATGGGCTATGCTATGATAGACAGTATATCGTGCCTTCCTTTTTATAGAGGTATACATATTGCATTATGCTGGATATAATACGACTAAATATTTACTCTCATTTTATACAATTTTAAAAGGTTTCTAGGGAATTTATTGGTGTAAAAGATTTTATATAATAATTTAGAAATAAACACATAAATAAACTCTTGTTCGTCCTGTAATAGGTACGTACCTATAACCTACGTAGGTATGTTCAGATAAACTTATTTATTTATCAATTATTACATCAGATTTGAATAAATGTGATTTTACTTTAAAATTATTTTAATTTTTCTTACATTGTATTTAAATTGGAATACCTACGTTTTATAGCACTTTGAGAGCTTATTCCTTGGAGACTCCAATCAAGAAGGCCGACCTGATCAGCTTAAGACGTGACGCGGGCACTGCCCCAGTGTATCATGTAGTCCTGAATTTTGTTTGAGTTGTCATCTCGTTAGCGGTGGCACGTGCATTGGATCGCTCGATTCCCTACAATATGGTTGAGTTGGGCGTGTCATGTTTGTGGACGGACACCGTGAACTGGGACTGGTCAGCTCCAGACTGTATGATTTGTCTTTTTATTTTTTATCCCAATGAACCAACAAACTATGTACAGGTTGCTCATAGGTAGGCGTGCTCCATCGTCGCTTAACACCAGGTAAGATGGCTAAACGTCGACCTACCACGTATAAAAAGATGTAACTAAAAATTGTATTGTGAACTTGATTGAAAAAGAGCAACCTATGGAGTTTATTGCTCGTTCTTCTCCTACACATTGGAATGGGCAAATAGCATCACTTTACATTTTTTGTTGACTTTCAAAAGTACTTTCCTGGTGTAATTGAAATAAATTGTTTTGACTTTTTCTTTAGTTCTTTATTACTACACTTATTCTGTTTTTCGACTGCAGTAATGCCTATTTGTGTAAGACTTAATGTTGGTTACCTGGAGTAAGTACTGATTTTTCGATATTTCGACGAGTAATTAACTCGTCGAGTACCGGTTTTGTAGACACAATTATAGAACAATAGGTTGCGGTCACCGGTGACCGCTTGGTGTTTGACAGTTTAAATAAAATAACAATTCAGTAATACAAGTTTATTCTCGCATCATCAAACAAAAATCGTCTAAATACATTCAAAATATAAATCTACAAATAATCCAATTTTAGGCCTCGAATGGTTAGTCTTTAGTTAGGCCATCGTTAACAAAAAAGGATTCGTCAAAAATTATTCAAAAAAAAAGAAAAATCAACCAATAAAAAAACAAAAATAGAATAAATACTTACAAAATAAGTTATGGGATCTTAATACAATAATTATAATAAAATTAATTTCGGTTCTAATGTAAAATATACATTACAATAATATTCTATACATAATTATATCAACAGTTAAGTGTTATGCAAAAAGTGCAATTGAAATGATGTTTTAATTTCAAGTATTTACTAAAATTACAGACTGGTACACGCGATTATAGTCTTTATATACCCTTGTAATGAAATTTATATTCTAGCCTCGGACTTGTAAGGCCTAGAATCGCGTGTTAGGGCCATCGATGAGAAAACTTGACCTATAGAAAATTTACAATACCTTTTTGTATTTCCTTTAGTAATTTTCTCAAGCTTGGCTTTCCAGTCTGTTCGGATAGATTGGCCATGGAAGCGAATTGGTCAATATTACATTACCGTTTTATTTGGCTTCTATGGTCTATATCTACGAATTATAAAACTACCTCTATTTAGTCGCCATTTTTGTAGCCTTTTACAATTAGCCCGTCTTTAATATCTGTACAATAAAGAAGATTATTTAATTAATATTCAAAGCCAAATAAAATTACTAAGTATCTACAATACAGAACAAAAATATTTCTTTAAATTATTGTTGAAAACCTTCTTTATTGCAAGACATAATTATATAGAAATAAGATGGTAACGAAATCTTTGAATTATTATTATTAATAATACAAAAACAAAATGGTAGAAATTTCTATGAAAGCTAATTGAGTATAAATGATATTGCTTTCAGAGTTCCGTGGTAGACTAGATGTGGTATTAAATATTTACTTTTTACATACGAAATGTTTGTACAATAAAACAGGATGAATAGATACAGAAGAGAATAGATACCCCATTTTTGTATCTATTCACCCCTCGAATTCTATTCACCCTGTTTTACGGTATATAAATTGTCTAATAGTGTATTTAAGGCCTGGTATTTTAACTCCCGACTGTCATTACAACATATATCATTTGCTAAGTTTTGTTTAATAAATTTTCAGCCTTATGCTTTTGTTACAAAGTCGAACGTCGACTATCAGATAAAAAAAGCTAAACTAAAGAGTTTAGCTCGCATAGTTAAGCCAGGTTTTCATACACGACAGCTTAGCTGGTATACCTACTTTGCAGTGGATGTACACGTATGAAGACTGGCTTAAATATGCCAGTGGCTTAAGGAACTAACTTATTTTAACTGCCAGTGGATGTTCGGCTTTATAACATAAGCATAAGGTTCAAAATCTATAAACGACTGAAGTTTGTCATAATCTTTATGGGTTTACCAAGGTCATGTGCCTTTAGTCAAACGCCACTTTAGCGCTTGTCAACAGAGAGAGTAGAAATCAAAATGTATGGGGATGACACTGACAAGTGTCAAAATTTACGTCAATTCCATATAATTTGGTTTTCTATTCTACATGTAGACAAGCGCTAAATGGCATTTGGCTACAGCTGCAGGTGTTCTATGTAATGTTTAAATTATAATTTATAATAAGCTGTTTACAATATTTGCATTCAGACGGAACTCTGAATAAATAGATGCCAAAAATAGATAAAATATATCCTATGTATATTACAATACAGATCATTATTAAAAAATGCCCACAAAATGTAATTTATACGACATTATGCAAGATAAATACTTATATTACTTTACTATACTGACAAAAATACACAAAAATTGTCATTTTAGTAATTATCGACTTTATCGCTTAGTTCTTAAGATTCATTTTAAAATGACATGTTTATCAGTATAATATAGTAATTAACAATATCAGCAAAATTTGAAATATAGTCCAATTTTAACAGATCATAAATAAAAGGCCCTTTTCAATAAACAGAGGACCTTATTAATATCGAAATAAGGTTTAAATTTAAGAAAAATTGAGATTCTAAGACTTAGATTAAAAATGTTTCACCTCGCTTTTCAGTTTCATTGGTCGTTTAAACGTTACATAACAATAAGTGTTAAGATTCGTTGAAAGATCTTTAAATATATCAGTCCATAAGTATATCACTTTTACAGACATACGGATTTACCAATTACGACTTTATAACGTGTGTCTCAAGGTTGTATTTAGAAAAAAGTTGTTACGAAAATGTATGTATTCGATTTTTGATATTATGTATTTGGGTTTTTCGTAGACGATGCCTTTTGACACTTAAATAGAGCGAACAAAGGACAATTTCCAATCAAAACACTGAATTATGTCATACACGGGGAATCGCTTTCAAAAATCTAATACACACATCAATTCCACAAATTAATATTTAATTATTTTTTTAAGCTTATGGTCACTATTGCAAATGTGATTTTGTGTGAAGAAAATTAATTAAATTATATAAAAGTATATGAAAATAAGTAAAGCCAAGTCTACATACGTCCTACATTGAGATTCACACTAGCACGTGTCCACACCTTTATATATTAGGCCGCGGTTGCACTGGCGTTCCATACGACTTTTTTAACAAAATGGACCTAAATTCTATCTCGTGTTTATTATCTAATTGGAAAATGTACAAAAAGTAATGTATTTTTATTCACATAATTTGCAACAGTTCATATATCAATAATTTTTTTTTAGAATATTATCAAATCATGTTTACTGTGTTTTGTTATAAAACCACTTGACAAAATAACTAGGGATTTCTTCAGAGACGATTTGCAATAATAATTTAGTCTTTGCAAAATTCTTATTGCTTGCATTTAACCAACTAAAAACTATTCAAAGTAGGATCAAACGCCAGCGCAATCGCTCCTACATCAGTCGAATGAAAGAACAGATCTACCCGAACTAGCACAGTTAGTACAAAAGATTAGAATCATACTTCATACGGGACACCCCACGTATTATGCTAAAATGGACTCCGATCTATAACTAGTACAGGGGTAGATAAATGTATTACTTATTTACACTAAATTCCTCCATTTTGTGCAATATCCAAGTCTGTATAAAAAGCTATCGAACTTGCATAAATTAAAAGTAATATCCGACTTTAACATGTAACTCCAAGCTGTATAGAAGAATTCCATCCAAAATATGTTCAGAAAATTTCGCTAAGAATAACCTCTAGGTACAATTTATCGCGCCCTGTACACGTACATATACAACTACATGTATAAAATTGGCATTTAAACTGCGTATAAACATCGACACATTCATACGAATCATACATTATATACTTCAAGCTGAAACCACTATCGTAGCAACATGTCAAACAATTAATATTACGCTGAAAAAATAAATTATAAACTATTATTAATCTATCATTAAAAAGCCAATAAAAATAGGCTGAATCGTTCGCTACAAAATATGAGGTATATTATTATTTCGTTTACTTCCCATTGTTTATATATTTGGTGGAATGCTATCTTAGTTTGCGGGCCATTTTCTATCCTCGAATAATAATATGAGACGACCGCTTTGAGAATATTACATAATTACACTGTACAAGGAAGTCGGTGCGGGCAAGTGTGATGACAGTAAGATCACTTTAAAGAATCATAGTTGTTCTTGGGCAAGAATTTATATATAAGTTACCTTAGCACGCCTCGTTCCCAAAGCAGTCGCATCAAGTCCGTGTTCTAGTGCGGTGGAGGAGGCCGCGGCGGTAGTCACGCGACGCCGGAGTCCTGCGCGTGCGCGCGCTTCTTGTCGGCGCGGTGGTGGTCGGGCGTGGCCTTGAGTATGTCGGGCTGGCCGTGGGCGTGGCGGTCGTACGAGTGCGAGCTGAGCGTGAGCGTGTTGTTCCGGTCGGACAGCGTGGTGGCGTGCGACGTGAGCGTGCCGTGCGCGGCGTGCTGCAGCGTGCAGGGCGAGGAGTGCGGCAGCGTGCAGGGCGAGGAGTGCGGCAGGGTGGAGGCCGCCGCGCGCACCGAGCGGTGGCTGCCGTTCCGTGTCAGCGAGTTCATCTGCGGCGTGCCCGGCCCGCCCGCGCGGAGCATTGCGTTCTTGTAGTCCGCTATGAGATGAGTTAGCTCTGCCATCTGGAAACAAATTAGAGTTTATTGAAAGAGCGCAATTAGTCTTTGTTGATATTACGCCCGAATACTGAAATACAACTTTAAATCGCGCATAACTGTAGTTCAGTCAATACAAATTCTTTGTAAAATTACAGAGATGGCACCTTACCATACCTTTAACCCCGAAAGTCTACCCTTTTAATACCTACCCGTTAATGTGCACATTACGACACTTAATGCCACTATACAATGTATCACTCAGTTTTCACTATTTATGTTATGTGTCCTATGTAATAGGGGATGAGCCAATGATCGATGGCACGATTGTTGTGGAGTCGAGCAGCAGAAATAGAATCAATTTTTATTCTTTAAAAACGGGCTATCCGAGCAATATATAACTTACGCCGTTGCGAATCGCTAAGAGAATTGTTTAAAACGATAAATATCTTTACGGGGCGATGTCAATTGAATGATATATGAAAATATAATGTATGTAAGAAAAAATAGGCAATTGTTCGAAAAAAGAAGCGATAGACACAATCTTAATACTAGAGGCAAGAATAAGTTAGTTACATTACTGCAATTCAGACTGTCCAGGGTACAGAAATCCTTCATGGGGTTATGCGTTAAATATTATTATAAATTTAAAACATATATTAAGAGTGATTGATTATATTGAAGATAGGAATGCTTGGCAGCATGTTGGTTCGGCTCCACTGGACAATACTCAAATGTAGTCAGTACCTAGTTCAGATTCCGATAATAGGTAATTTAATACTTTGATTCCGATGAAGGCAATCTATTTTTCTTGTGGCTTCGAGCATTTCTTTCTTTTTTTAAACAAGAGTTTATTTTTTTTTCTTGTATAGAAGCACTATTTTATATGGATTGTCAGTATATATTATGTGAGGACCATGTCAGACTTAGATATTTGTTTTCTCTAGGTTTTGTTTATTTTTTATTTTAGTACGTTCTGTTATTTGTATAATGCCAAATGTCAGGTATGTCTTTACATTATTCTCACATGTGTGTACAATATTGGAATATGTATCAGAGCAGTGTAAAACAGACTTTTTTTTAAAAAGAGTAACGAATGGAGTTTCTTGCTCGTTCTTCTCCACTCGAATCGACATTTTGGAACGAGCGCCTAGCTTCACTGACGGACAGACTGACAGACTATTATTTATTTCATATTTGTTGACGTTTAAAAAGCACCAAATTATGGTTTAATTGAATGCTTTTGAGTTTGAGTTTGATGGGATGTAGGGGGCACAACACTATCTCAGTGCCCAAGCCAACCTCACCTGCTCGTGGTACATCCTGCTGACTAACGGACGAGGCTCTGGCGACCGACACATGGCGGAATAACCACGCTAAGTAGGCGTAGCAAAATTTCAGACTAGTGACGGGGAGCAGCGTCACTAGTGCGAGGAGCTACGCCCTGCGATCACCAACCCGCCTGCCCAGCGTGATTATGGGCATTACTCGAGGGCAGCTCGAGGTGGAACTGGGGAACATGAGGTGGCATATCGTGGGGTTGTTTGAAGTCCGAAGACAGGGGTAAGACACAGTGAATTTGAAGTCTGGCCATCTCATGTATTTTAAGGAAGGGGACCAACTACCTCAAGGCGGCATCGGGTTTTTGGTCCACAAATCCCTCTCAGACAGCGTCTTGGAGATCTCCAGCGTGTCGACTAGGGTAGCGTACCTTGTGATAAAACTTACTAAGAGGTATAACCTAAAAGTCATCCAAGTGTACGCCCCTACCTCGACATATTCTGACGAAGAAGTAAAGGAACTGTACGAGGACATTTCCAGGGCCTTGCATACCATCCAAAAGGCCCACTTCAACGTTGTCATGGGGGACTTTAACGCAAAAGTGGGAGTACATATTAGCGGCGAATCGGTAATAGGACCACACGGGTTTGGTAGCAGGAACCATAGGGGGCAAATGCTCGTCAACTTCCTGGAGAAGGCGGGACTGTTCTTGATGAACTCCTACTTTAAGAAGCAGCCTCAATGGAAGTGGACGTGGCGGAGCTCCGACACTATGACTAAAAATGAGATAGACTTCATTATGACGGACAAAAAGCGAATATTTGGAGATGTCTCTGTGATCACCATAAACATCAAACACAAATTCGAGTGTGTCCGTCTTATGAAGTCTACGCTCCTACCTAACTTGCTTCAAACTGTTGTCGGGTCCGAAACCTTCCAGCAAAAATTGGAAAATCGATTCGCTGTCTTGGAAACCACAATAGACGCTGATATTAACCAAAAACTCGACCAAACGGTCGGGATACTCCGGGATGAGGGGACGAAAATGTGGCGGGCGCAAAATACCGGCAGGAGGGCTTTCGGGGGTGTCTCTGCAGCTGATGAAGAGGCAACGTGAAAACCCAACAGTCGCTTCGTCGGATCTTAATAAAAAGATCTCGAAGCAGGTAAGACGTGACCTTCGGTGCTCCAACACACGCGCTATAAAAGAAGCGATCGAGCGAAATCGGGGGTCAAAAGTTTTCATCTAGCAACTAGGTCAAAGCCATCTGACGAAGCTGACCACATCTGAGGGAAAAGTCGTCGCTTCTGGGCCGGAGATTCTTGCGGAGGTTCAGCGCTTCTACGGTGATCTATATGCTTGTGACGCATACATATAACTTCAATAATACTCGGGGGATCCCAGGGCCACACTTGTCCGCCACTCACTGAAGAGCTACCAGAGGTCAGCCAAGACGAGATCGTAGTGGCTTTGAGGCAGCTTAAAAATGGAAAAGCCCCCGGTGAGGACAGAATTACGACGGAGCTCCTTAAGGCAGGGGGAAAACCGATTCTCGAGCGGCTCCAAAGTAAAAATATTTAATTCCGTCCTCTACACGGGGAGAACTCCTAGGGCGTGGAGCAGAAGCATTGTCGTTATGTTCTTCAAAAAAGAAGATAAAACCCTTTTGAAGAATTATCGTCCTATTTCCCTTTTGAGCCACATCTATAAACTGTTTTCCAGGGTCATCACGAATCGTTTCGCACGAAGGCTTGATGAGTTTCAGCCCCCCGAGCAGGCCGGGTTCCGAGGAGGATATGGCACTATGGACCACATTCACACGATGAGGCAGATTATACAGAAGACCGAGGAGTATAATCGGCCTCTATGCTTGGCGTTCATGGACTATGAGGAGGCATTTGACTCTATCGAGATCTGGTCTGTTCTGGAGTCTTTACAACGGTGCTAAGTCGACTGGCGATATATCCAAGTGCTGAGAAAACTGTACGAAGCTGCGACTATGGCCGTCCAAGTACAAAATCAGCAGTCTGAACCTATTAACCAGCACCGAGGAGTGAGACAAGGGGATGTTATATCCCCCAAATTGATGTTAGATCGGACAGAGAATCAAAGTTATCGACATAGCCCAAAGGATCAGTAAGCTGAAGTGGCAGTGGGTCGGTCACTATTGTCGAAGAACCGATAACCGTTGGGGTAAACGTGTTCTAGAGTGGAGACCGCGTCTAGGCAAACGCAGTGTAGGGCGCCCTCCAGCTACGTGGAGTGACGACATCCGCAAGGTTGGCAGTGGTTGGATGAGAAGAGCTGAAAACCGAGCTCATTAGCGTGCCATTGGAGAGGCCTATGTCCAGCAGTGGACGAATACAGGCTGATGATGATGATGATATTATGATGACATCTGCTGCGTGTAATTGCATCAAAGTCAAAATCATTTATTTCAATTAGACCAGAAAGGCACTTTTGAACGTCAACACCATCTACCATATTGAACAATTTCTGTGTAACAAGAACAATTTTATACAATATTGCAATAACATTTTTAATGTAGGTAGGTACTTACTTTTGGCTTGTTGAGACTAATCAACATCTTGTGTACTGGACTCGCTGCGTCTTCAGCGTCGATTAGCATCATCAGGTCATCCTGGAACGAAATCATATTTAATTAGTTCTTAGTAATGAAGAGCAAATGCCATTATTACAATTTGATTGTAGTAAAGAAATAACGGGCAGTTGTTTAACGTGTTGTGAGTAACATGACATAATTATTGAAGAGTCTAGGGTATGATAGATGATAAATAAAAATGAATTTTCGTTCGTTAGTCTCGCTAAAGCTCGAGAACGGCTGAACCAAGAATGGGCCGGCTCGACCGGAGTGATACCACGGCCTCACAGAAAATCGACGTGAAGCAACGCTTGCGTTGTGTTTCGTCGTGTGATTGAGGTTACCGGAGGCCCAATTACCCTCCCCTTTCCCAATCTCCCCAATCCCTGAAACCCCAACAATCCTCAAACTCCTAAAAACCGGTAACGCACTTGTAACGCCTCTGGTGTTCTAGGTGTCCATGGGCGACGCCGATTTCTTACCATCAGGTAATCCGTCTGCTCGTTTACCGGCTTATGCCATAAAAAAAACCGATTTGGCTAATTTTGGCCTTGATATGTATATGATATGTAATCCAGAGAAGGTTTAAAAGGTACAAAACCTTTCTAGGCAATACGAAGTTTGCCGGGTCAGCTCGTATGTAATATTTTTATTATTAAATGCATAGAAGAAAATCTGTATTATAATTTAAGTCCTTATTAAGAGTAGTGTCGTGTCGATGTCGTGATGGCCCTGAGGTTTAAGACGCCCGCTTCTCATGCATGAGGGTGCGGGTTCGAAACCAACCAACGGCAAGTATCAATGTGACTTTTTCAGAGTTCTATGTACTTTCTAAGATTATTTAGACACCACTGACAAACGGTGAAGGAAAAACATTCTGAGGAAACCTGGACTTATAATTTCTAATTATAAGTTTGAAATCGCCAACCCGCATTGAGCAAGCGTGGTGATTAATGCTCAAACCTTCTCCGTGCGAGAAGAGGTTTTGCTCAGCAGTGGGCATTTATAGGGATAAGAGTAAAATATTTAAATATGTATTTTAATATACCTGTAATCCACCGAAGAGTCCAATGGAGGTGAGTGCGTACCGCCCTATGACGGCCATGGACGCTAGCTCTAGCACCGTCACGCCATCTTCCGACACTGCTAGCCAAACCATAGATAGGTCGGGTTGTTTTATCTAGAAGCATAAACGAAAAGAGTGATATTTAGTAATTTGAGACTACTTATTAATCTTATTTTACGCCTTACTTTAAGGCTCCAATCACAAAAGAGCTTTATGAACGTCCCGTTAAAAATAACTATGAGATAAAAAAGATATGAGAGTTAGATAACAGACTCCGTGTTGTAATTGAGAATTTACTAAAAATATAAAAAATATATCCCGACCAATTGTACCCGACATACTTTGTTAGGCAGTCGCATTTGCGATCACTCCAACATGGAGTCATATCAGATCGACAACAACGTCATACGAGTAGTATAGAGAACATTATCATCAATACATAGTATAAAACAAAGTCGCTTTCGCTGTATGTCCGTATGTATGCTTAGATCTTTAAAACTACGCAACGGATTTTGATGCGGTTTTTTT